CAGGTAGTTATACTGAACATTATCCTCAACACACCCTTCCAATATGTGAAGTCATAACTAGACCATCATCTTTGCCTTGGTGTTCAGATTATAATGGACAGAAGATAGGAATGTCTTTGTTAGATCAGGTAGTTATACTGAACATTATCCTCAACACACCCTTCCAATATGTGAAGTCATAGCTAGACCATCATCTTTGCCTTGGTGTTCAGATTATAATGGACAGAAGATAGGAATGTCTTTGTTAGATCAGGTAGTTATACTGAACATTATCCTCAACACACCCTTCCAATATGTGAAGTCATAGCTAGACCATCATCTTTGCCTTGGTGTTCAGATTATAATGGACAGAAGATAGGAATGTCTTTGTTAGATCAGGTAGTTATACTGAACATTATCCTCAACACACCTTTCCAATATGTGAAGTCATAGCTAGACCATCATCTTTGCCTTGGTGTTCAGATTATAATGGATACAATGGACAGAAGATAGGAATGTCTTTCTTAGATCAGGTGGTTATACTGAAGGAAAATATTCAAAGAGGTGAAAGACAAACGTGAATCCAGGGATCAAAATATTACATTCCCAAAGAAGTTAACTTTGCTTGAGGGATTTCATCTCTTTCAGTGGGCTTTCCCAATAAGGAATGCATGATTCATCTGTATTCCTTTAGTTATGTCCAATGAAAGTGAACATATTGCATGGATTAAATAATGAAAACAATTCATGAGGAAATGCAACTTTAAATGAGGGAATGTAATTTTATTTCTATCCCTGGAACCTTGTATTGGGTGGTTGGCCAATAGTACAGAATGATTCCATCATTGAAAAAAGCATCCATACTAGATTACAGTTCTAGTTGGTAGCAGTGGATTCAGGTAATGAAAAAACTGCCAAATGCTGCTCTCAATGGATGTGGAAAAAAGTTCTTTAAAATAACAAAAATAAAATGACCAAGACAAAAGGAAATCTTAACTAATCCCATCCAGTACTTTTGACTTCTGAGAGTTCCGCCCACTATATGAACTTTGTGGAAAAAGAAATATCCCCTAATAGTGTTGAAGCAATTGGAGAGAGTCCAGAAATACTTTCACAATGTTCATCGTTCTGTAACACAGTGTTAAAGCAAATGGCAGGAATCCAGAAATGCTTTAACAATGTTCACCATCTCCTAACACGGTGCTGAAACGGTTGATGGGGGTCAAGAAATACTTTTATAATGTTCACCATCCCATAAAATGGTGTTTAAGCAGGTGGTAACAGTCCAGAAATACTTTCACAATGTTCGTAATTCCATAAAACAGTGTTGAAATAGGTGGTGGGAGTCCAGAAATTTTTTAGAGTGTTCTCCAGACTCGTGGGTGGCTGCTATAGGATGAAGTTTCTACCAAAAATACCAAACCATAAATTGTGTGAAAACTAACTCTGGCAAAAAAAACAAACAGGGAAGTTGGATTTTGATCCCAAATCTTGAACAATGTTAGTATTTACAGTGATGCCAAAAACCATCTCCAACCAACAGAAGTTGCTAATACCTTAGACAAACTATACAACTTGGTTTGATGCTGTAGAAATCTTGTTGGTTATACTAAAAACAAGCATATAATGTTAAAGTAGCAGTACTACCTATGACTGAAAGTGGCATGAGCATGGAAGGTTGGCCAGCATCATCTTCTTTTCATACAGAATTCAAACCATGTTTTATTCAATAAGGTTGTGAGAAATCTTGCTTTAATGCAACAAACATTCTTCAAGTACCAACGATGAGATGGCAGTATGATGGAAATTTGTTTACAAGTAGGCTATATAATTAGATCTACTGAAGACAAATTTATTAAACATAAATTTGTCTTCAGTTTGTATGTTTAATGTTAAAAACAGTTTGTATGATGTGTTATTCATACTGTAGCCTGTTCTGGTTTATAGTTCAATATTGAGAAAACCCAAGCATTTTGTTTTTTTAAATTGTGTTGAACCTGCTTCCAAAGCATTCTGCAGACCCCTGGTTTATAAGCTATGCACCATATGACTGCTATTGATGTAATGAAGTGCACAGTACACTTGACTATAACTTGAGTTAAAAAGTAATAACTACATTGGCCAAATGTGATAGGCATGGTACATGAAGATATGTAACAACTCCGCTTTGGTGTTTAGTATTTTATAAGGCTCAACTTCATCAGTTTTCTTGGGTTAAGGGCCAAACACATCACTAACAGCAAGGATACCCAAATGATGATCTAGGGAAGAATGGTAATAGAAGCTTTTTGTAATTTGCCTGATACTCATAATTACTTACTTTACCTAGCTATAACTTGGGTTAAACCAGCTTCATTTGTCCCAAAATACAAGTTAGGTTTAATTATATTACAATTGGTTGTAGCTGTAACATGAATTAAACCTAGCTGTAATGAGTAAGTGAACTGCACGTAGCTGTAATGTGAGTTAGTTCTACTTCACCTTGCCATAACTTGAGCTAAGCTTACTTTACCACACCATAAATATGAGTCAAGCCTACTTTGTCCTAGTCGAGACGTTAAGCCTGATTCACATAGCCATAAAGCAAGTGATAAAGTAATATATTTTTACTTCGTTTGGATGTAATGCACGTATAGTCTCCACTAAAAAAGCAGTAAGATCACTGTACATTTTGCTAGAAGTCATTACACATTTCACACAAAGACTAATTTATCTACTACTGAAAATCATTATTTGCATTAAAATATCGACAATTTTCTACTCATTTCACTAATTTATTGAAAGTAGTTGATATTCCATATGACCTTTATCACTTGCACACTTTGCATATTTCATAAAAGGATTATTCTAATATTCTTCTGCAAAAATCAAGCTTTACTCTTTTATTTTAGATAAAACACAAAGGAAAAATACTCACTGTCAAAGTTAACATGGCGTAGAACAGCTTGCAAAACTGATTCAAAAAATTTGTTCAGACCCTGAAAAAATCCACATAATAAAAAAATTAGGCATTTATTTTTCCATATTTTTGTTTAAAGCTACACTACGGCTAGATGTAAATTTCTAATCTCCAATTTTGAAGTGACACATTAGAGTGAAGGTAGCTAGTCAATAGCATCCACCACCAACTTGTGGGCTATTTTTGTTTAACTAAATAGTTAGACTTGACCAATCTTACAGTGCCACCACCCAGTGGCATAGTGAGGGTGTCTGGCACTCAGGAGCAAAATATAATTTAGTGCCCCCTCCCCTATCTGGTCTTTGAAAGACAATTGCTGTTCGAATAAGTAATAGTGGCATAGAGTGCAGAAAGTCACTTAGTCCAATGGAAAGTGATTTTATTTAGTTAAAGATTGTCATTGGTTTATCAAGTTTTATTTTGACCATTTGATGCTTCAGTGTGGTGACATATTAGTGTTAATTACCTAGTCATAGGGAAACCAGGATTTTTATAACACTTCAGTTCATTGACCATAACCTCAAGTGCTGAATTCCACTCAATACATTATGCTAAATCAAAGATGAAAGGAACAATAAATGTCAGTTAATAATACAATCGGGAGTCAATATGTTGCATATTATATTCTGCATTAATATAAAAATGCACCATAACTCTCCTGACTGGCATTATTATAGGATGAATAAAACTGAAATAGAATCATTTGGGCTGCAAAAAATCCGTCAACACTTGCAGCTAATAATTGCAGCAATGGGATGCAAAACATGAATCCTCAGATTCACAGTCTGACCATATCTGATCCCAAAGTTTTTAAAAATTAATCTGTAATACGTACACTTACCAAAAACTCATTTTTAGAGCTGGAAGAGAAAATAAATAATAATAAACATAAAAAATAGTAAAATTCTCGTCAAATTTTCAACTTTAACACCACCACTACTACAGTAATATTTAAAATGTTTATAGGACACCAAGAAACTGCCAGTTAGAATTGAAAAGTAGCATTGTTTTGGTGAGTTTATTCAAACATAAAACTGGTAAATTTGCAAAAACTTTAAGGAAATTTTTTGTTGCATCATTTGTACAGTGATGAAGGTCTGGCAAGTCCTAATTTAAGTTTTTTACAACAAAGAACACTTATCACTCATGTACTAATTTAAAAATCTTATTATCTGGTCTTTGGTTTTCTTTATGTACAAACACCAATAACCAATTTAAATTAAGATAATGTCATAATAACAGCTGTGCCTACTATTATAACTTGTAAAAATTCACCTTTTCATGTTGGGAGCATTGTCCTTTTCGCTTACGGGGAATATTCACATCGATCTTGGCCTTTACTAATGTCATACTAGCTGTTATCAAACAGACATTTGCTAGGCCTTCCTGCATAATGACCGCAGCTAGATCAGCATGTTGAGAAGGGTCACACGCCATGTCTTAAGAAAATTATAGCTTACATTAAGAGCATTCAAAAGCTATGTTTAAAAAAATAATAATTTTTTTAACTAGGACCATAAGCTATGTCTTAAAAATAATATGTTATGCAAATAAACAAGCTGTATTTTGAAAAAAATTATTTGTGTTTACATTAGGAAGAATTACATGGCACACCTTAAGAAAACAATACTTCTGTTTACTTAAGAAAGAAATACATGGCATACCTTATGAAAACAATACTTGTGTTGATGTTGAGAAGAATTACAAGGTATACCTTAAGATACCAAAACTTGTATATATGTTAGGAAGTAGTCCCAGGAATCGACTTGTAAAGTTGCAACTGTCGGACAGAATTTATAAAAGCTGAACAGAGTTGAAACTGAATAAAATTACAACTAGTTCAACTGCATCAGTTGAATATTTTTACAAATAAGTTGATTAAAGAATTCAACTGCTCTATTATTTTATGAAACAGAGGGCACAAAATAATGAAAATAGTTATGAAACACCACTACTGACACCTTAATGAGCCATGCCATCAATTTATAACAATTAACTAATAGGACTATGTTAGCCTTGGGAATGCATCAGTTGTTACCTACTTGCTGTCACACACAATTTAAATGAAGTTAAATGGACAGCAACTGCCTTTTGTAGGGGACTACTATCTATCAAAGAATAAGTAAAGTAAAATTTTCACTGAATGCATTTGGCTTATCACGAGTATTTAATTTTAGGTACCATTGTCAGGTTTTATATATGGGCTGGATTCTTTACAGTTGTGTCTGTGACTCATTGGCAATAAATAAACACCACACAATGTACTTGTTTTAAAATAATATATTAAAACAAGTCAAACATATATACAAATGTTTGTAACACTGTTGGTTATCACAGTTGTATCCAGAGCTTTAAATAATTGTCTCTTTTTCGTCAAAGTCCACACAGGTTGGTTCAGTTACTTTAGAACACACTTTGACAAGATGAATTATTCCTCCTGCTCTATTACTACAATACAATCTGTGATGATTTCACTTTAAAACTCTCCACTATCCATTCTTTATGGCTAAACACAAAATGACACAGTCGAAATTCATCTATACTGAACTACATTTTCAATGCATATTTATACCCCAATAGAGGTCTAGAACATTCCACAAACTACTAGGTATTATCTAACCTATATAAAAGTCAGTGTGTGTCACATCAGATTTATCAAAATAAAAGTCATCATAAAAGCCAAAATGCATTTATCCAGATAGAATAGTTTGATTACTGTCTGCCCATCATACAATTTTAGTGATGGGGTACAAAGGGGCTGTGAGGGGTGTGTGCTGTGAAACCTTATAAGTGTAGTGAGTGTTAGTATAATAAGCCTAAAATAAAGACGTAGTGTATGATCACCTAGCCTAGAGCCAAGTGCAAAAATGTATCATGCAATTAAAAATACGGATTCAATTTTAAACTTAAATCATTGTTGAATTAAGCTATTTTCTATATATTAGAAGTTGTTAATCTAACTGATTTTTACCACTAATTATTCTATGAATACAACTTTATCACTCTGTCGAGAATGCTTTCATGCTCCTTTTTTGGTAATGCTCAACAATATATATCATTGCTTAACAACAAAACTATTATGGGATGTTATAGTCAACAATTAATTGACTATTATTGCATCATTAGTGTATAGCCCATCAAAAGTGACAGGGCAAGTACTACCACCCCACCCTGTAGTATACCCTACTGAAAAAAATAAATTTTGGAAAATCAAGCTTAACCAACAAAGAGGTAGAAAAGTGCAGTGGAGGCAGTCAAACATTGGTAACTTCCTTTGTGAGGCAATCAAAATTAAGATCATTCATGAAATGAATTCGTGGCTTATTCACAGAATAATTATTGGTAAAAATCAGTTAGATTAACAACTTCTAATATATAGAAAAGTCAGTGAGTTTTGGTAACACTACATTCCAACAATGGCTTATATGT